ATATTATTTTCTATTCTGTTCTTTTAAATATTATAAGATTTTCATGAACTCATTTTATGGACTATGATATTATTTCCAATGTATGCATATAATAGTTGCCTTAACCTTTCCCTTATTGGTTGAAACTAGGCAGTTCATCAAAAATGTTGACCATGGTCTGATCTGTAGTTTTCCTGAAGCCTTGAGAAATTCACCTTATGAGCAACTGTCTTTGTAAATTCAGTAGCTGGTATCCTTGTTTCTCTATTTACTTTTGATCACCTGATTGAGGACTGCGACAATATATCTATTCAAAGGCTTTTGGGGAATTACAGATCCTACCTTCTTCTCTTTAATAAGTAGCAGGTGTCTTATTTTGGTCAAATTATGATTTGCTAGAGAAAATGTGGTATGGTAGGTAGAAACACAGGTTTGAAATCATGTAAGTCTGGGATTGAGCGAGCTGTCCATATTTTTCATGCTGAATGTTTTAGGCAAATTACCAATACTCTGAAAGCCCTAGTTTCCAACAGGTTAAATAAAAATAATGCCTTTTTTTTGTGGTCCTGTTAGGCTAATATGATATGAAGTGTATATCACAGCAGTTGGCCTATATTCCACAATAAATATGAGATTAATAATTTGTTTTTTATTAACATAGTTACTGTTGTCATTATTTTTGATATAACCATCTAAGCACATATCTTGAAACCATAGATTTTCATTCATTCTCAAACTTTCTGATTTATTTCCTAAAATTCTAGAGTATTTTCAGGCCACAAGTACTGTCTTACTTGAGGATATAGTCTATAAAAATCACATAGTATAGTGGGAAGAGTTTAGTCTTTGAAGCCCATGAGACCTACTATCAAATTCCAGATTTACCATACACTGGGCAAGTTTCATCACTGAGTCCCAATTTTCTTCTTCCTAACATGAGAATTAGAATGCTTATGTTGAAAGATTATAGGAAGAAGTGAGAAGTATTTGGGAAGCACCTGGAGCAAAATCAGATTTTATTAACAGTTTGACTATTTCCAGCCCTACTTCAGCCATGTCAGACAACTTGGAAAGAGTAAATTTGATTTCAGTGTCTGTAGCCTCTGCCTTCACTCTGCCTGTAACGCCCACCCCTCACCCCGACCCCTCCTCACTTTGCGGAAGTCATTACCCTTGTCCGGTCCCCAGACCTGGCCCCCAGAATATACAGCTTCCAGCCATTCCACCTCAGTGAGAGTGGTGAACAGAGGACTGTGACTCCCAGAAATACTCACCTTTAACTTCAATCTGTAGTTGGGATCTAAAGCCTTTTTGCTCTTGATGAAAGAATTTAAGGTACTATCAGGCTATTCAGGGAGTTGTTTTGGGTAGGGTCACCTGGAAGGCTCAATGTTCTGAAAGTCACACCACACAGGTGTAGTTCTGCATGTCCCTGAGAAAACCTGACCCAGAGGGTCTGAAAAATCTCAAATTTAAGTGTTCCATCACTCATTTCCCACAATCCATGAAGGTTGTGGGGTCAGGTTTGGGTTCGAGGTGCTAGAATCTGCAGAAAGCCTTCTCTGCCTCTAGGACTAAGTAGCACACTATCGTCACTTGTTTCTGAGAGACCTCATGATTAAGCATTCATTGATATTCTGATTTGACATCTGGTTCCAGATACTACAGGGAGCCAACCTGTGGCTGCTTTGCTGTAGTCATTGAAAGCTCTCATTTGACTGACTTTTCACTTACTGAACTAAGTTGGTTCATGATTCCACTCTTCCTTTCACTCAGGTCGGGGTGGGGGAACCAGACTGGCTGTATATCGTTACCTTCTGAACCCAGTTGACAAAGTGGTCATGAGACCTCTGGATACTAGGTTCTTCCTCCTGCTTTTCCTCGTGTTGGATGGTGTATGTTTAGGTGGGAATGAAACAGAAGCAGTCTTTGCCCCTTCTTTAAATGGGAGAGAATTACCAGGGCATGGGTTCTGTGCTTCCTTAGAGCATCTTTATGACAATAATTTTCTTAGACTTGACCAGCTGGCCTAGGAGCAGAAGATTTGGCCTTTGGGATTGACAACTTGCTGATTGGCTATAGAAGTTGGTCAAAGTAGTTCCGTTAAACTTTTGTGGTAAAACTTTTATAAACTGCTGGCGGGAAAACATAGGATTAAAGGAATGTTGGAAATGGATAAGAAAAAAAATAGATCTACTGCCTTCCTAACATTGATTATTATGAAGTCATTCTTTTAAAGATGTCAATATTACCAAGCTGTACAGCACATTAAACTGACGGCATTTCTCATGAATTGCCTTCCTATGCAGATTTCTCCTATGTTTGAACAGACCTCACCCTCTGCCCTCCATCTCACTCTTCTAACTGAATAACATTTTCTGGAGAATGTGACCTTATAATTGTTTCTTCCTTTTTTAGAGTGATATCTTCATTATTTAGTGTTTAAAAAATATATATTACCAACCACAGGTACCCACACTCCAGATTGAACAAATATTGGCATGTTGCCACATTTGTTTCTGACAGTTAAAACAAGCAACTAAGAACGCTACAGACACAGCCAATGCTCCACCCACCATTTCTACTTCCCTGCTCTTTCCTGGTATGGTTAACCACTATCACAGAGTTTTTAAATACCTTTTAATACTTTTTATGTGTTTTATACTTTTATCACACACATATATACCATAAATAATATAGTGTTGTTGAGTGTTTTGATACGATATATTGTACATATAATTTTGCATCTATTTTAACCCAGAATTTATATTTAAAGATCTGTCCATATGGACACTGTGGTATAGAGTCCATTCAGTGTTACTGCTGCATAGGATTGGTTGCAGGAATAAACTAACCTCAGTTTATTAGTTTATTGACTAGTGGGCAATTAGTTGTTTTAGTTCTTAACTATTACAGAGTTGCAAATATTAATGTGATCTTTTTCTTCATGAAGAAAGGTGAGCATCTTTCTATAGCATAAATGGAGAAAAAAATAGTACATCAAAGAGAATATAAATCTTCAACTTTATAAGATATGTTCAAATAGAAGAACTACCATAAATATTTAACAACGGTGTCTGAAGAGTTTCTTTTCTTCACATGCTTGTCATTGCATGATGTTCTCATATATATTTAAAAAAAAATTTTTATCAGTGGTATTTCAATGTTTTCATTTGCATCTCTCATCACTTGGAAAGTAAATCCTCTTTTAATATATTTGTTGCCTATTTTGACTTCATTTTTCTGTGAATTTCTAGCTCATATATTAATTGCATTTTTGTCTTGTCCTTACCAATATGAAGGAATTCTGCATGTACCCCGAGAGCTGATCTTTTGCTCACTCAGGATGGTACATATTCTCCCATCCACGGCTTGTCTCCCTGTGGCTTTCCTACAGTAGCAGTAGTGCTTGTACTAAAGAAACACTATCTTAATGCAATCAGATTTATATTTATGTTGTATGCTTTGGGGATCTTGATTAAGACATGTGCTACTACCCTAAGATCATAACAGTCTATAAATTTTTTTCTAATGATTCTGAAATTTTGCTTCTCACATTTAGGTTTTTAATACATCTGAGATTGTTAAGTGTGCGGTGTAAGGTAATGATGGGATGTTATTTTTCCCTTGTGGAAAGACAGCTGCCTCGGCCCTGGCTGGTGTAGCTCAATGGATTGAGCGCGGGCTGTGAACCAAAGCATCGCAGGTTTAATTCCCAGTCAGGGCACATGCCTGGGTTGCAGGCCACGGCCCCCAACAACCGCACATTGATGTTTCTCTCTCTCACTCTTTCCCCCTCCCTTCCCTCTCTAAAAGTAAATAAATAAAATGTTAAAAAAAAAAAGAAAGAGAGACAGCTGCCTCAGCGCCATTGGCGGGAGAGCCTGTATTGTTCTCACTGATTTATAAAGCCAGTCAGGTGGTCGTGAAGTGCTCGTTCTAGACATGCCTTGTTTCCAGGCTCTCTGTTTTCTGCCACTGTATCATTGGTATATCTTTGTAAAAATACACCATTGTTACAATCAGTATAGCTTTATAGTAAGCTTTGATATGTTATAGTGAATTCCTGCCTTTTAAAAAACTATATACATATATATTTCAATAATTAATAACCTAGGTTAGATCATTAAATCAATAGATCTCTGAGAGGCTATTTTAGAGACACTGAAAAGATTAGAATTCCTTTTTAAAATTACTTTTGGCTTTTAGGTTGCACTTCTTTGAATGTGATGCCGTGTGACAACTAAGTAACATGGTGCCGCAACAGTATTAGGCTTAAACGGAGTCTTGAATAAGACCTGATATAAGTTTCTTCAGAAAGCTGCCATGATGAATTTAATTGGATGTGGCATTTTTTTATTTGATCAGCAAATTTATACTGTGTGTGTGTATTAATTGTCTGTGATAGATTCTGGGTCCACAACCAATGAACAAATCAGAAATAACTATGGATTATGTAGACAAGCAGGGGATGCAGAGTTAGACAGATCATGACATGCAAAATTGTGAAGGTCAATGAGATTCTGATGTCACATTTGCTTTGTCTCCAGAGGACAAACTCTGGAGTTGAAATGTTTGGGTCCAAATTGCAGCTGCTTCTTTTCTTATTGCTGTGACCATGAGACTGTCAGCATCGGCTCCCCTGTCTGAACTGGAAATGGTGTTGTCTATGAATGAGGCAGCACCTACCTATTCATAGATTTAAGACTGTTGAGTCAGCTACTGCATGTAAACTCTTAAAACAGTGCACAAGGACAATTTTTAACAAACATTAACTTAGTACTATTATTCAGAGAATGGGACCACGTTGAGAAAGTGGCTGTATATTCTATCCTATACTTGTTCTGCATTCATTCAGCAAAATATACATCAAATGTAAGAAAATAAGGATGAAGATATTTCCTGAATCAAAAGGACATTTCTATTATGCTATGTCACAACAGTCATTTTTTTTCAAACTGAGAAGCTTCACCTTTTCCCCTTCAACTTTCTCTACCAGTCCTCTCCAGTTAGTATGCCAGCATGAGGCCTGAGAACCAGAGCAGCGTGTCTGAGTTCCTCCTCCTGGGGCTGCCCATCCTGCCAGAGCACCAGGGTGTGTTCTTCGCCCTGTTCCTGGGCATGTACCTGACCACGGTGCTGGGCAACCTGCTCATCATCCTGCTCATCAGGCTGGACCCCCACCTGCACACGCCCATGTACTTCTTCCTCAGCCACTTGGCCTTCACTGATGTCTCTTTCTCATCTGTCACTGTCCCTAAGATGCTCATGAACATGCTAATCCAGCACCTCTCTATTCCCTATGAAGGCTGCATTTCACAGGTGTATTTTTTCATATTTTTTGCAGACCTGGACAGTTTCTTGATCACTTCAATGGCTTATGACAGGTATGTGGCCATCTGTCACCCTCTGCAGTACACCACCATCATGAGTCAGCACATTTGCGTCATGCTGGTGGCTGGGTCCTGGGTCATTGCGTGTGCTTGTGCTCTTTTGCATACTCTCCTCCTAGCCCGGCTGTCCTTCTGTGCTGAGCACACCATCCCCCACTTCTTCTGTGACCTTGATGCCCTGCTCAAATTGTCCTGCTCAGACACTTCCCTCAACCAACTGGTAGTCTTTACTGTGGGATTAACAGCTATTATGCTTCCATTCTTATGCATCTTGGTTTCCTATGGCCGTATTGGGGTGAACATCCTCCGGGGGTCCCTCTGCCAGTAACATCTGTAAAGCCTTGTCCACATGTGGATCTCATCTCTCAGTAGTGACCCTCTATTATGGGGCGATTATTGGTTTATATTTTCTTCCTTCGCCCAACAACTCCAATGACAATAACATAATCGCTTCGTTGATGTACACAGTGGTAACTCCCATGCTGAACCCCTTCATTTATAGCCTGAGAAATAAAGACATGAAAGGGGCCTTGAGAAAACTCTTGAATAAGAAAACATACTGTTCCAACTGATACTTGCCATGTAAATACAAATTATTAAAAATATAGCTCACTTGTCTTCCTTCTTATAGCTGTCACTCACAACCTTGGATGACATTCTTGGACCTGTTAGGGGGATGAGGAAAACAGGATGTGCTTTATGGGACTTAATTTGCTCTTTTCTCGGATAATGGGGAGTGTAAAAGACTTTGAGGATGCTGTGTCACTTTGACTGGTGTCATTAAACAGAAGTTGCCAGGACTGATCCTTCTCCCAATTTTTAAGTTGTTGTAAAATGTGTTTCGTTTTCCACATCTCCATTTTTAAAGAATTTGCTATTTTGGTGCTAATATAGCTTCCCCTTCCCCAGGTACCCAAACATCCAGGGATCCTGAACCCTTCTAGAACCTTCAGGGAGAACATATTAAATTTTACTCTCCTTACACAATTATTAACACCCTATTTTCTTGTCCTTGAGGAATACATCTCACAATTCATTTCTCCCCAACACAGTCAGATATTCAGCAACAACATAAATGTCACATCTGTTGTTTTAGGTACCAGTCAAAATCTTAACATACATTAACATCATCTACTTTAATCCTGAGAACAGCCCTAAGAGATATGTTGGGAAAACTGAGGTTCAAAGAGGTGAACACTGTAGGACTGAAGTTAGTGAAAGGAAGGCTTGAATCGTGGCTCTGTGACCTCAGAGCAATTCGGCCAAGAATTATAATCATTTGTGGAGAACACTGTGTCCTGAGGAGGAATAATTAGCTAAGCCTAGTGGCAGAGACTGTGAAGAACTTCCCAGAGGTGGTGCTGCTTTACCTGAGACTGAACAAAATCAGAATTATGCAGACACACCAAGTTCTGTCTTACCCCGATGATCCCAGACAGAGGGGCAGCATGTTTTAGATGTTAACCTGGAAGTTCCAGTTGAGGCACCAAGATTTCATGGACACCAGATACCCAAGTGAGTTGTAAGACACAAAGTAAAGATGTTTGATTTTTTGTGAGGGATGGATTGGTCACTCAAAAGTAAAAAAAAACCTTTTTACTTTTAGGTGGAATGAGCAAGTATTTCTATGAATTCAAAAATGTGTAGAATTTTTTTATCCAATATTTTATCTCCAAGCATTCCTAGTTCCCACAATTCACCTCATCACTCCCAAGTCCTTAGAAAATTTCAGGAAATGAATTGAGTTTTAATAGGATTTTTAGATATTTTATTTTCAGATTTTATTTTTTGTTGGGTTAGGTATATTTCAGGGTTTTTACCCTGCCATTCCTGTTGACATCACTTTAGAATGATTAGTTTTTACACAAAAATAGAGGAGTATTGAGGAGGAGCTATAATTTGAGCTTCATCATGAATGAATTTGCTAGGTGTAAAATTTGGGAAGAACATTTCAAGTTTTCATCCTTTTTCTCTACTACCTGTATTTTAGATCTTGGATTGCAGCTTCCTCTATGTTTTCAAGCTCCCTCTGGAGAAAGATAGACAAGAGCTTCACTATGCCTAATCTATTAAATAAGGCCACTTATTCTCCTGAAATGTACATGGTGTGGCAAAAGTACAGTAGGTTTACAGTTGTGAGTACATGAAACAGTATATTTTTGTGTTCTTATTGATTAATTATTGTATTATTTTCCATACAAACAACCATAAACCTACTTTTGCCCTACCATGTAGACAGTAGCATCCGATTTCCAAGGTTATTTCTGTCAACCTAAAATTAAAACACTGAAATGAAAAGCAACAAGCATTTATTTGGGATCAAAGAATTGCAATTTGGGCAGCACAGATTCAGGCAGAAATCCAAATGGTGACCCTATTACAGGTTGAATGCAAGGGGGCTTTAATAATGAAAGGAAAGGAATAATTACATGGAAGGAAGTAGAATCCTTATCAGTGCTAACAAGCTGAGTTACTCTTGGCTATACCAGATTGGTTACTGATTCTGTCTTCAGATAGAGTCCAGAACTATGAGTCCTGATGGTCAGGATGTCTGCTGTCCTGCTGGCTGTACAAACAATTGTTTGTAAGACAGTGTAGGTTTGGTACAGTCCAAAGACCTGGTCCAGCTTAAACAGTGTAAGTGTTCAAGAAGCAAGACATGCAAGGTAGTTTCTCTGAAATGGCCGCTTTCGTTCTATTTTAAAATGGCTCCATGTATATCACCTTTCATATTCCTCAGGACAAAGAACTCTGTCTCTGGCCTCTGGCCATGCAGGTGCTGGTCACCCAACCTTTGGCCACCCCAGACTCTTGCCACCCTTGCTTTTGCTCTCCCATTAGAATTTAGCACTAATAAACACTGCCTGCATGCTAATAGGTATGATCTGTAATTCTTAACTGCTTCAGCAAGAAGAACTAGGTTTCTCCTGTTAACACTATTACAGACATCCCCATTCTCCCACCTTTGTCCCCCTCCACCCAGCCCCCACTGGCCCTGGCCTTCACTACATTGTTGCCTGTGTCCAGGGGCTATGCATATATATTTCTGTGTTCTTTGGCTAATCTCTTCCGGCCTCCCTACCCTCTTTCCTCTGGGATCAGTCAGTCTGTTCCATGTATCCATGCCTCTGGTCCTGTTTGTTTATCAGTTTATTCTGTTCTTTAGGTTCCACATATGAGTGAGATCATACAGTATTTGGGAATATATCCTAAGAATCCTGAAAAACCAATCAGAAAGAATAAATGCACCCCTATGTTCATAGCAGCATTATTAAAAATAGCCAATATCTGAAACCAGCCCAAGTGCCCACCAGTAGATGGGGTGGATAAAAAAGATGGGGTACATTTACATAATGGAATGTGATGTGTCTGTAAAAAAAGAAGGAACTCATACTCTTTCTGACAGAATGGATGGACCTAGACAGTATTATGCTAGGTGAAATAAGCCAGCCAGTGAGGGTATTCTTAACACTTTGAAAGGGGCAATTTTTTGTTGGGCAGTGTAGTGTGTCTTGTGCATTTCAAGCCATTCAGCAGCACTGGCCACTGAGCACTAACCACTGGTAGCAGCTCCATTCATTGGACCAAGCAAATGCTCCTACACCTTTCTAAAGTCCATTGGAAATTTAAAATACTGGCCAAGTTCACCAACACTGTTCTAAGTTATTTTGGAAGGAAGCTAAGAATTAGTCCTAGTACTTAAATACAAATTAACTGTGATTTTTTAAGAAGTGCTGCTGATTAATTAGGGTGAGATTAGAATGAGGCAAATGAAGCACATGTGAAAAGTTTGCTTCAGGTGCTAAATTTGAGAGCTGCCAAAAATTCAGTAATTAGGGCAAATATAAATTAAAGATTAATTTTAACTAAAATTAGCTCAATGTACTCTTACCAAACTAATAAAATTTAAATAAAGACAGAAAGTACCCTGCACTTGAACAACTCAACCTGCCCCAACCCATTCCAATCTTAACCCTGTCCAATTCTTTATCAGTCTTCCTCCAGATGTCTTGTATCCTTTTCCTCTGGCGTCTTGATGGGTGTTTTCTTTTTATCTTCAGTTATGCTGTGTCTAGTTGCATTTCTTTTGTTAAATTTATCTTTATTTCAGTTTGCTTAGCTTGATTCTGTAAGTTGATGCTTTTAACCACATTTTAGAAATGTTGAGTTTTTATTTCTTTACATGAATTGTCTACCCCCACTCAGTATAACCCTTTTTTCTTTTTAATGTAATGAACATACTTAGGATAACTGTCTCCACATCTTTTTTTGGTCAGTTTCAGTATCTGTGGTTTCTTGCAACCTGTTTCTTGTGACTATTCCTTTCTTGACATGGTGCACTTTTGTTTACTTCATGTGTTTAAGAATTTTTCAGTGTTTGTTGGAAATTTTGGATGATGCATTTTTTTTATAAATAAGCAGTCATGAAAGATATAGGATTTCTTTTTTTTTTAAGATTTTATTCATTTTTAGAGAGGGAAGGGAGGGAGATAGAGAGAGAGAGAAACATCAATGTTTGGTTGCTGGGGGTTATGGCCTACAACCCAGGCATGTACCCTGGCTGGGAATTGAACCTACAACACTTTGGTTTGCAGCCCGCACTCAATCCATTGAGCTACACCAGCTAGGGCTGGATGATGCATTTAGTAAATTTATATTTTAGTTTTGGACTGTTGACTTTTGTTCTGGTAGTCAGTTAAATTATTGGCAGATCCTTTTTAATCTTTTCAGATTTTGTTTTATTCTTTGTTCAGGTAGATCTATTTCAGGTTGTCCTTAGTTTCTTGGGATTGGCCCTTACCCTAGGGTACACTTATAGTCCTAGGGAATAGATTTCCTGGGGTCTGAGCTGAATATTGCAAAGTGCTCCCTGTGCTCTCTCTACTTGAACTCTAACAATAGACACACCCATCACCATGTGACCTCTGACATCTCCATTGAGCAACTACTCCTGCAGCAACCTCTCTGATAAACCTGTGATAGGTCGCCCAGAGCATGCCCATCTCAGCCTTTTGCCAAGGATTCATGTTTAAACCCCATGTGCACTTCTGACTTTTGGACAGCTTTTTCTTCTCAGGAACCTTGGCACACAAATCCCAGTTGCTTGAGTAACCTCAAATTCTAATCTCTACCTTTTCACTCCAGAAATCTGCACTCGGATCTAAAGCTGTCATCTGTAAAGTATACTCCTGGGCAACAATACAGACAAATTTAGAGCACATTTCATGCATTTTTCTTCTTTTAAGAATCACAGTTCTGCTTTGCCTATTGTTGAATGCCTACAAACAGTTCCCTCATATACTTTATTTTTTTTTTTGCTAAAAAAAAGCAAGTTTGTTCCCATTTATTACGTCATAAATAAAGGAAAAACTAGGTCATTGATTTCACTCATTTTTAAGTTATATGCATTTAAGTCTGTAAACTTCTATTTAAGTACCACATTAGTTAAGCCCCAAAAGTCCAATATGTCATATCATTTGTTAACAGGCTATAATTTCAATTGTAATTTCTTTTTGGCAAATTTATTATATAGTGGTTTATTACTTATTTGGAGATTACTCCTTATTGGGTA